TCACAATCCTCCTGTCAGCCTCTGAGCCCAGTTAACTAGCCTATCTTAATGGGGGGGTAAAAGATAAAAGCTGCCAGTCACAAGGAATGGGGAAATAGGTACTGTGAAATAAAATTATAACCTTGGGACAAAATAGTTTCCCCCTTTTAAAGATCTCACTGGATTCTCTATTTGGCCAGAAAACACTTCTGGGTGCAGCCCTACCTATTGCCCCCAAATCTAAAATACATGAATTCAAGCACCTATGTCTTGGCTCTGCTGATTTCTGCAAAGAGAGGTCCCTATGAATCTTTGTATGGGCAATGTGATTTTTATTGGACAGAATGCCCCAGATACATGCACATATAATGACAGAATCTCTGGATACAATTGACAGTGGGGAACTCACTTAAAGTTGATGACATTATGATGATGACAATATAAACTGGTCAAATAACAATAACCTGTGTTCCTACCCCTTGAGCTCAAACTGGAAGGGAAAAAGATTTAAGGCACAGTTTTTAAAAAATATGCCAGACTGTCTGATTTCTCTCTTGGGATAAAATCAATGACCAATGTTATTTTAATCAAGAATTTTTTAGGAGGAAATAACTTCCCCCAGGGGGATAGGATAACACCTTAACATAGAGACATTAATGAGGATTCTGGGAATCCATTCTCTTCTGGCCAATTGTTTAAAATATGAATCAAGTCAGCTTTTCCAGATCTCCTACTCTGCCTATCCTGCCTGTTAAAAAAAAAAAAATCTCACTCTGATGAGTAAAATTTGTACAAGTCTTGAGACTTATAAAAAAACTGTGATGTCCATTACCTTTAGGTTTTTTCATTGTTAGAGAAACAGATAACTTAAAATTTTGACCAGGCTTGATTTTTCATGAATAACCTGAATACATGTGACAGAAATAAAATACATCTGAAACGAAATATGTTTGTCTGAATCTTATCTAAATGCTCTGTAAAACTTTATAAAATGAAAGTTCATATAGGTTTGACCAATAAGTGCTCTCTTATATATTGCATCTGGCATAAAAGCGCCACACTGACATTTGAGAAACTGGCTTCCATCTGTCTGCTTTAACTAGTTCTGATCATTAACACTGTTCCCTAAATATATAAGAGATTTAAGGCTATTCTTTTGATTTTTTGCTAGTACTGCTAAACTCTGCAAACCTGTAATGATCGATGAATTCTGAATTTTAATGTGAAAAATTAAACTTAGTTAATACAAAGGACATCTGTGTAATGGTGATGCTATTAGTTCTTTGTATATTAAGTATACTCATTTCTTCTAGTATAGAAATTTTAAAATATAAAGCTTGGAAAAGCACTTTACCAAGCTTATGTTCCCCAAACTAAAATTGTCTAAAATGGTAACTAACCTGAGATAAGGCTCTGCCTCCCACCTTATTCCATGTTAGAGTGGCTCCAAAATAGGCTAGACTTTAGCTCATTTAAAATTGGTGTTCAAAAGATTGATTTTTGTTGTAAAGTTACTGTGATCTCAAAGAGGGAATATAATATATAACTAAGTAAAGGTTCAAGATTATAAAAGTCATTTTT